TCTGTATCACACTGTTCAGCCTGTTGGGAAAGTTTATCGCAATGTGTTGGAAAGGAGGCTCTGACTCATTGTTAAACCTCAGATACAGAAGGAGCAATGCGGATTCCGACCTGGCCATAGAACAGTGGACCACCTCTTTAACCTTGCAGTTCTCTTGAAGTAGTCATGGGAGTTTGTTTACTGCTGAATTTCATTTCTTACACTGCTTTTTAGTGTTTTAATGACTGTTTTTAATGTTTCAATGAATGTTCTTGTTTTAAAATCTCATTTTCTTTTGCCTTATGTTTTGATGCTGTTAATGGTTTTATGTGAAGCACTTTGAATTGCCTTGTTGTTGAAATGTGCGATACAAATAAATTTGCCTTGCCTTGCCTTTGTCCATCCAGTCAACATGTGTATTGTAGACTTGGAGAAAGCTTACAACTATGTCCCTCTTGGAGTCCTGTGGGGGATACTGTGGGAATATCGGGCACCGGGGTCGTTGCTACGAGCCATCTGGTCCTTGTATAAATTGTCACCAATCCTGTTTGTGATTTTCAGGGACAAGATCTTAATTGTCTTCCCATACTCTTGCTCATGCCGCTCCCTCTCCCACACAGATCAATGCTCCAGCCTTGCCAGAGAGCCGTTGCACTGATCAGGGATCAAATAAAACACTACAACAGCTCAATGCACCTTTTGTATGATCGTATGTTTTAACATCGCTTTGTGTGGAGTTGCTTTTTTCTCAGTGCAACTTCAAATTACAGGTTTCAACCACGATTCTGTAATGACACCGTGACTCACATTATCAAGCCTCTTCTTCCACTTTTGCGCCATGAGCTTTGTGCAGTGCATGGAAGTACTAAAGGGAGTTGGAAAGCCCATTTTAAAGTCAGCAAATACTAGCAAGTTGCTTGCAGTAGTCTTTGTGCTATCATGAAAAAAGGTGTCTTTAAAGTCCCTGTGTCTATGATATACACATTTCTAACATTGGGGTTCCTTTCGATGTCAATCTCACAATGTCAAGACTGTTGGGATCTGACCCTGCTCTCCTGGCTGGCTGAGACCTTCACACATGCTTTTCAAACAAAGGAGCAGCCATGTTCCTTCCTTTCACCAAAACGCCTGACCTGGGGTCTGCAAGAAACCTCATGCCGGATGACCACACCCCCAGCTCCAGCCAAAACCTGATGCAGGTCCCTCATTGGCCAAGAAAGGGCCCCCCACTGGTTGTGCCACCTGGTTTATAAGCCTGAGCACAGCTAGAATTATTTCTCTTCCGTCCAGACATGCTGATGTGAGGAGGTCCACAAGGCCTCTTCCCTCCGGACCTCGTCCTGGCAACAAGAAGATTCACGAGGAACCGCGGCCTCATCAAATCCTATCAGGTCACATGTAACATTCGCTGGTCGAACAGACTGTGTTTTATTTTGAGTTTTGGATCCTGTAGTGCGAGAACGGATAACTCCTATGCCCCGTTCCCCCACCCTTTTTGTGTACACACTGCCGGCAGTAGGACGATTAACAATCTTTCCTCGCCGAAGATTTCCAGGAAGGACGACCCAAACCTCGTCCCTCAGCCGAAGTTAAAAAGCCCTCTCTGCAGAGGAGATAGAATCTGCGCCAGCTCCGAGAGCCGCGCCACCGGGAGCCCTCATCTCTCGAGGACCGACTGATTCCCACCACGGGAAACGTACCCTACCGAACGAAGCTTCTACAAGTAAGAGTTACTGGTGTATGGGCCTAGCCTAGCTTAGCTTAGCATTAGCTTATTTTAGCCTATTCGTTTATGTCGTTGCTATTCCCGTATCTTGTGTTATGTTGCTGTCGTGTTATTGCGCAACATCGCGTACCACGGAGTCCCGTTATATTGTGTATTTCCTGCTTTAACTGTTTGCATTAGATCCGTCGCTGCTAGTGGATGTGGAGCTTGTGATCTTATCACTTTAAAGACTAAAACCACGGTGGCGGACCCTCGTCTCGCCGACCGAGTTTCGGGGTGATAAGGGAGCAACACTCGCATCTCACCGCAGTGATAAAGATCTGTTTTGTTTTGGGGATTCTTTTATTTTGTTTTTGGTTTTATTCTGTCCTCTTTAAATCGGCTCTGTGAGTGAGATCTGGAACCGCAACTATCACCGTAAAAGCGTGCTGTTCCTCACTTCCTCACTATGGCGCAGAGCACAGCGCTCAGAGCTCGATTTTCTCTCTCTCTCTCTCTCTCATCCTCCCTCTCTCTCTCTCTACTAACCCACGCACACACAGTTAGATTCACTGATTTTTGGCGAACCTCTCAGTCACGTGTTCGCGTAATCTATTGTTCCAACCCACATTGTATGCCGTCCCACGTGGTTACCTGTGGCCCCCTCTCAGCCATTTTGTCGGAGGTCTCTAGACTCCGCCATCTTTGCTTGTAGGCTCACACGCCCCCTTATTAGATTACCCACCATCACTGTTTGAGTAAGCCACCCCCCCCTTTCGTTCACACACACACACACACACATATACATGTACATATATCTATATCCATATTATTACCCCACTTTACTCATTTGACTTTAGGTATTAGACATATAATTATATGATAGTGTTTGTTGGTTTTGATATTACTTGATTTGATCATTTATTATTTTGATTGAATAAACTCTGTTATATTTTAAAGAGCAGTCGTCTGTGATTACTTGTGCATATGTGTGTAATAATAACTGGATGTAGTGACCTGTGCTCGAACTCAAACCTTCACTCTCACTCCAAACGTGTAATAGTATTCAGACTGTTAATATCGTGAGTGAACACTAATTATGAGACTTAGTTTATAGTTTGGTTATTGGTCTCTGTCCACAGGGTGGTGCCCCGTTCTTATTAGTAATTACTAATTAGCTTGACCTTAATAACTCCATTGATGTTGATAGTTTAGTTTCATATTTGCTGACAACCAAACACGCTCCTTTTCGTTCCCAACAAGACCTATCGCTTTAAAGCTGCACCAATCACCATTTCTATATCATCAATGGATCAAAAGAGATTCTGGTGTGACAGCTGTAGGGATTGTATTCAAATTAATTTGAGCAAGCTACACGTTAGTTTGAATTTGTTCAAACTTAACTTGTAACCAACAGTCGACATTGGTACGTCAACTCTCAACCCAAACCTGGAGCCAGCAGGAAGGGGGGGAAGGATGACATTTACAGTGTGGGCAGCATCCTTTCAAATAAGACATTGTCATTGAAAGAATAAGTGTATTCTGACTGATTGCTAACTTTTTTATGTTTACCGTGTTCTTATCTCCAGGTGACTGTAAGCATTTGGTGTATTCATGTTAAGAACAAATATGGAAAACTAAAATCATGCCTGTATGTGAAAATGATGTATACATTTATACAATACTTATTACAATCATGAAGCCTGATAGGAATGCCTACACATTATGCTTTGTATGTGTGATGGCTGCAGCTACTAGCCAAACCATCAACCAGGCATCGTGAAGGACATAGTAACATGTTTCCCAGTTCTTTCGTTTAACATCATTATACAAGACATAAAGACACTTGTTTTGGCCCACATTATTTTTGTAGATTGAGTGCACGCAATCAAGTAAAATTGAGTTAAGGTTAGTAAAAGTGTTAACAACTTTCCTGTCAGTGTCCTGTAGCTGACCATCCTTCTGGCAAAAGACTGAGTCCTTGTCAGAAGAGTACTCATAACGTTGTTTTGAACTAAGTTCTGTTTAGGTAAGTTGTGCTTAGACTCCAGAGCAGTTATGTTAAGTTTATATAGTTATTCAAATTTTTAACTTTTGCTTGATTTTGTTACCCATCTTAATTCTTGTAAATACTTTGGGTCAGTAAAATCCCTGTTCTTCCACCTTTACCTGCTCTCCCAGCTTTATGCATACCTCGGTCCTTCACAGTATGGTAATAGAAATACATGACATTTTGTTGTACACTTGCATATGGGAGTTATTTTTATTCAAAGT